TACTGAACTTAAATATACAAGTTTGATAAAAATCATCATTAAAGAAGAAAATTTCAAATGGCATTTAGAGGCTTTTGCATCTGAACTCTTCATATATATAAGACACATATTGCACTGATATATATATATATATATATATATATATATATATATATATATATATATATATATATATATATATATATAGTATGTATATATATATATATAGTCAGTGCAATTATGTGTCTTATTTTGCTATAACTCAGTGATTCACAATATATATATATATATATATATATATATAGTGAATCACTGACCTAGTAGACACATTGTGGTTCGGTCATTAAAAAACTGGCATCTTAAGTCAGTCTTCTATGCAATTCCCTTTGGAGATCAAGACTTTACATATCTACATATTCCTTGGTGATCTCATATGATTTCTCTTACTAACCCCTGATGGCCTTTTCTCATTGTTCTCTATAGCAAGACGGCGGACAAAAAGCTCATCAGAGAGCACTGACTCAGTCTTGAACATCCATGCATGAATATGACCCTTCAGCCACAGTTTATCTATCACTTCTTATCAAGTCTTATAAGGAAATCATTCCATCAAACTGATAAATCAGCTGAGTGAGTAACTCCATGCAAAAATATTCATCTAAGCACTGTCTGTTCTTCACTGAAAGCACTCAGACTCAGAGATGAGCTACAGCACATTGGTTCACATTTTAAGAAGGGATAAGAATCAAGCTGGTGAAAAAAAAAACCTGACAGCTTATGGCAGGAATTCTTGGGATATAATTTATTAAAATGCTTTTCAGAGTTACCATTTTGGATGTTTCACACATTAGGCTCTGGTAGTCTTTAACTTCACAAGTCAAGCAAGCAGCAAATCGACTTTCTATAACCAACAACATGAGCATTAAAGAGCTACTTAACTGTCGTACGCAAACCCCAAGAGACTAAGAAATAAAACCAACTCTGTTCTCGAAATAAAAAAATAAAGTTTGATTGCTTGAAATGTATTATTATTATCATCACTAAACCATTCAGTATGTTATAATACAGTGCTCATAAAATGTAATTTTCACATGTGGCCTGCTATGTCATTTGCAGCATGAGTTTGCACCTTAAGTCAAATTGGTGTTTTTGTTTTCACGCACTATGATGTGTATATTAACACAATATTGAAACATATTTTCTATATTAATATAAGGAGACCCAATTTCAGCCAATTATAAACAAGCCTCAAGGATGAAATCACTATTTTACAAATTTGAAACAATATTAAAGGGATACTCCACTTTTTTTTGGAAATAGGCTCATTTTACCACTCCCCCAGAGTTAAACAGTTTTATCGTTTTCGAATCCATTCAGCCGATTTTCCGATATTTAGAAGAATATCAGTAACCAGACAGTTTCTGGTCTCATTGACTTCCATAGTAGGAAAAAAATATCCTATGGAAGTCAATGAGACCAGAAACTGTCTGGTTACTGATATTCTTCTAAATATCAGAAAATCGGCTAAAAACATCTGAAAACGGTAAAACCCAACTGTTTAACTCTGGGGGAGGGGTAAAATGAGCCTATTTCTAAAACAAAAGTGGAGTATCCCTTTAAGGGTTTATAGGACCAAGCAAGAAAGTGAACATTTCACATCAGGTTTTTGATTTGTGAACATGTGTTAAACATGTTAAACTACAGACCTGGAATCATCCCGTTGGATTTCCACATGTTTAAACTATATATATATATATGAAGAGTTCAGATGCAAAAGCCTTTAAATGCCATTTGAAATTATCTTCTTTAATGATGATTTTTATCAAGCTTGTATTAAGTTCAGTGATTTCACTTAAATGGCAATGATAATTACCTATTGATTGTTATTTAAGTGAAATTACTGAACTTAAATATACAAGTTTGATAAAAATCATCATTAAAGAAGAAAATTTCAAATGGCATTTAGAGGCTTTTGCATCTGAACTCTTCATATATATATATATATATATATATATATATATAACATTTTCCTCACAGCCGACATATTTATGACCATTAGCGAGGGAAAGCCATGGTGGTCACGGTGATTTTGCCAAGTCATGGAACAACGGTCCTATCTGAAAATGTAGTCCTTACCCTAAAATCAGATGGAAATGATAGGCAAATAAGACTGATTGTGACAAAGTCCAAGTTTACCCTGGTGGCAGTGTAGGCCCTGTGTCTGTTTGGTGTTTGTTTCTCATTATTTGGTAACTTTTTTCTAGTCTGAGATGCACATTAGACTGTTAAAAAAACACCAAGAGATTTATCTCTTTATTTTGGTATTTACATAAATCATTAGTTTTATCCTCATTTGCAAAACTAACCTTCTGGGTTCATGTCTGCATCATGGTGTCCGGTCCGGGGGTGGGTGTCTAAGAGGGCGTGCGCCTTCCTGTTCCTCCTTTTATGCCATCCCAAAGAATTCTGGGTAGTGTAGGCATAGTCCATTTCTCAATGGGAGCAGGGGGTTATTGTTTCATATTTTATTGTGTTTATGTTCATTGTATGTAGAAATGTATCTGTTTATTATTTGTATTATTTTCCTTGTATAATTTAAGGTAGATGTATTTTGAATATTATTTTCATTTTCAGTATAGTTATGTATCATGTATGTGAACATTATTTAAATTCCCTACTACTTTAAAATGGTTGACCCTTTCAGTATACCCTTCCAGGAATGTATGTTTGCGTGAAAGTTCTGGTGAAGGACCTCCGTGTCGTGAGGAGGGTCACCTTGAGTGGGTTTTGCTTATGTTATTTTATTTTTTTATTTGGTATTCTTTATTTGGATTTCACTGACTGCAAGCAGTGTTTCCTGCCTTTGCTCTGGTCATGTCTTCACACTGATATAAGTGCCTAACCCTGGTTGTAAGCCTACAATTGACATAAACTGTAAACTTGATTGGAAGGTGTTGATCCAGGAACATGTGAAATCACGTTCCCAACACAAAGGGGCAGAGTATTCAAAAACACCTGAACACCAATATCAAAAAAATGCCAAGTTCCAGGAATGGTTATATCGATCTGAAATCAGCACAGACATTGCCAACATTTACATATCTCAAATCCATCTCCGAAACAGAGAGTGTGGGGGCTTTTAAGAGTACAGACGCACACTGGCAAATCTCTCTTTCAAAAGTGAATTCTTGTTGCATTGTTTCATTCTGATTTGGTCACAAAGGATCTGTGATGATCCTGTCTGAATGTGACAGCAGCTTTTACAGCAACAAAAACTCCATTTTCCAGAACTTTTATGATTAAAGTGAAGATGAAGGACAGATTTTTGTTTAACTGTCTCTTTAGGATGTGACGTTACTTTAAGTAGATGTTTTTCATCTCGACTTGATTTTCTTGCTCATGTGTAAAAATACAGATGTCATCATATCCTTCAAAATCTAAGCATAAGCCATAAATGACTGAGTATGTGTGTGTATTGGGGGGGCCATGATAATTATTTTTGAAAATGAATCTGATTACCTCAATAAATTAATTTTTAAAAAAGGGTATGTATGTTTTCAATCGCCGTTACAGCTCACCCCACCTACTGTTACAATTTTCAATCGCTCTGGTAGAGTTCGTAACATCAGCACTTTACATACTTGACACTACTTTACACAGTTTAGGAATAAGCAGTACATTACAAATGGCTAATTTCTAGCAGACAAATATGAAAATAGTGTAACAAATGTTTTGTGCAACACACACACACACATTTGTAAAACAAAATCTGTTACAACACTCCGCCAGTGCATGGTGTACAATACTGAGACATATCTACTGTATCAATAATCGATATTAATAGTGTAACCTAGCCTAATATTGACTCTCTAGGCAGACATATATTATGGACTCTCTCTGAGTCGATAAACGTCCAGCAGCTGTGAGTCATGTTCTTGCAGTGGCAGATGTAACCTAGTCAATGGTTATTTCCATTATTTATTCATGTATCCTTTTTGCGGAACTTATAGGAAAAGAAAACTCGAGTGTCTGTACTGTGTATGTGTTGACAGTACTGTGAGATTGTGTGACCCGTGGGGCGCGGCTGTGCGCGATCCGCCAGCGGGATTCAGAGAGTCAAAGTGGGACAGCAGTGCGCGCCTGCTCGCTAGAGATCCATGAACATCTGTCCGTTCTGAAATGTTCCTGGTAGCTATATATATAAATATATATACACACACTCTATGTATTGTTGCTATATAACAACAGCTATCGCTACTGTAAATAAGTGCACAAGCCATATCCTCAGTCTGTACTTGGCGACTCGGAAAGAAAATCTTATGCTACGACGACCCCAAGATGTAGAATCTTGCAAATACCCGAGTGAGATGCGCGTATTAAACGCGCGTATGTCCAACTTAAACCAGTGCTGGCCAACTAATAGCTAAAAAAAACACCGTAGGGCTTGCATTAGGCATACATTAAGTTCTCATCAAATGACACCCTGAGCAAGCCTATACGCGTAACTGCGATTTCATTGCAGATATCAAAATGAGGCATATAAATCGATATACAGGAAGGTGGTTATTGAACCAGTGTTGGCAAAGTTCAAAAATGGATAAACACAAACAACAAGACGCATCAACTCACACACTGATCAGTGAGCAATAAATTGTTGCGTATGCGAACCATAATCAATTTGGAGCGCGGGGAATCATTCCGTGTCTAAAGTTGCTCACAGATGATGTAACACTAAAAATCATTTCATTAACTACAAACAACTTCCCACGCACCTGATCCCGCGTGTAAAAGAATGTGCACTGAACTCAAATCTGCACTGTCATCATCATGCCACCAAACACACGTAGTGTATCTGACTTGCCAAAACGCACGGGCTACTTCTGAAACATAAACCCTGGTGCAATTGAGGTCTTGAGATAATGTGTGCTTAAATCACACTGGCATTTCTGTTCTCCCAGCCAACTCCCACCACACCCTGAAGGCTGTGGCCACACACACATCCCAGGTTTGAGGCTTCTTACCTTTAATGACAATCCCACAGAAGCTGTAGAGCACGAAAAGCAAGTGCTTTTGGAGCATCATATTCTTGTGGCGATGCTTGCGTCCGTGTTCTCCCTGCACTGATGCTGATGCTGATGCTGCTTATCCAGGTGGATGGTGCGCTCTCAGTCGCATGGATGGCGCAAACCCGAATCTCCTGTCCCGATCCGGAGGATAGGTTGCGTGCAGCAGTTACTGTACCCGGGGCTGGGAGAAGATGCTGCCCGCACTGAAAATGCTGAGAAAGTGGCACTTCAGCCCCTGCCTGAGTCTCTGCCTCTCCAGAGCGCCGCAGCAGACGCGGGTCCCGCCCACTCTAGATTGACACATGGAGACGCCTTAACGATATACACAGACCAGCGTGAATGCGCAATTGATCGCGCTGATTGATCACACTGATAACTTTCTGGTGCGCTGCTGTCCGAGTTTTGGTTACACTTTAGACACCCGCGTTCATGTTACTGTCCGGTAATAATTAGGCTCCTGTACTAATTACAAGCAGTCCCCCTGATACATTACGGGACATGTTGTTTATTAGGTGACAGCAGGGAGTGTTGTAACACAAGGTGAGTTGTAACACCTTACCAATTTGCAAGGACATGCACATGTATATGGTTTCTAATCCCAATTTCAGAGGACAGAACTGGAATGATCAAAATCATATCTCTTGTTTAATGGGATTGCCAACTTCCACACAATCATCTACGTGTTAAAAAAAACTATATTGACGAGGATGTGTGTAACACTTATAACTAGTGTACTTCTGCTGGATCCACAAAGACTGCACAAATTAGGACATGTACAGACTGTCTCCCAACACACACGCGCGCGCGCGCACGTTTTATGGGTACTTTGGGTACCATTGACATAGTGGTATCTTTATGGGTACCACTGACATAGTGCTGTTTATAGGGTACAAACTGTATATTTTAACCCTAAACCTACCCATGACAGACAACTTTCTGATTTTTACATTTTCACCGAAAAAAAAAAAAAAATAAAATAAAATGTGGTATGATTTATGAGCTGTTGTCCACATGGGGCCCACAAATGTCTCGACAAGGATTTTGCATATTATATTATATTATATTATATTATATTATATTATATTATATTATATTATATTATATTATATTATATTATATTATATTATATTAATCAATACCTATAAATATTAAAACAATTAATCCCGAGACAACTGGAGGAGAAAAATAAGTAAAATTGGGGAAAATGCTAAAACCTTTATTAAAGATTATACATTTAAATGAAATAAATTTAGTTAAATTATTCAAACGAATAGCAGCATAAGATGTAATCTTATTTTTTAAAAACAAAAACAAATCATGAATTAATCAAAGCAAACAAAAGCATGATGTTAATTTGTCTTAATACATATTTTAATTTTTTCTGTTTGTTTCTTTCTAATTTAATAGCCTTTTACAACACCTTTAGTCATTTATGTACAATACTGAGTTAATATATTTTGAAATTGATTGTTTGTCTAGTTCTTATCTTATCTCTAGTTTGCTCCATGCAAAACGCAGAACCAACTCTATTCCAATCAACACTGTTCTTCTACCACACAACAGTGTTTGCACATCTACAGCTTTATATTGCCTCATCGCTATTTTTGATCTGTAATATAGTGTTATCTGGTAGGTCTTTTTGACTTGACAAAAGATGTGAGATGGACTTCTTTGTGCATATAAAATACTGACAGATTAAATGAGATTAAATAATGGAGTGACACAAACATCCAATCGAGGAAGCAGTTTTTGCATCTCTGTGTGGACTGAAGGGGTTTCTGTTGCTGTTGTTGTTGTATTGGAATGGATTTGAGATCTCAAGTGGAAAAAGAAATATTGTTTATCCTAGTTGTTAGCATCTTTAATTGGGTCTCCAGGCAATCTATCAGCAACGAGGCCATGTCATTCACACCTTCTCACCTTATTCCTCGTATTGCAAATGTCACTTTCTGTAGAGAGACATGCATGCTTTTATGAGGTCGCATTAAATGTCGAGCATAAACCACTGAAAAAAGAATTATATATATACTCACCTAAAGGATTATTAGGAACACCATACTAATACTGTGTTTGACCTCCTTTCACCTTCAGAACTGCCTTAATTGTACGTGGCATTGATTCAACAAGGTGCTGAAAGCATTCTTTAGAAATGTTGGCCCATATTGATAGGATAGCATCTTGCAGTTGATGGAGATTTGTGGGATGCACATCCAAGGCACGAAGCTCCCGTTCCACAACATCCCAAAGATGCTCTATTGGGTTGAGATCTGGTGACTGTGGGGGCCATTTTAGTACAGTGAACTTATTGTCATGTTCAAGAAACCAATTTGAAATGATTTTGAGCTTTGTGACATGGTGCATTATCCTGTTGCCATCAGAGGATGGGTACATGGTGGCCATAAAGGGATGGACATGGTCAGAAACAATGCTCAGGTGGGCCGTGACATTTAAACGATGCCCAATTGGCACTAAGGGGCCTACCTCGGTTGTAACGAGTGGTTATTTCAGTCAAAGTTGCTCTTCGATCAGCTTGAATCAGTCGGCCCATTCTCCTCTGACCTCTAGCATCAACAAGGCATTTTCGTCCACAGGACTGCTGCATACTGGATGTTTTTCCCTTTTCACACCATTCTTTGTAAACCCTAGAAATGGTTGTGCATAAAAATCCCAGTAACTGAGCAGATTGGGAAATACTCAGACCGGCGCGGCTGGCACCAACAACCATGCCACGCTCAAAATTGCTTAAATCACCTTTCTTTCCCATTCTGACATTCAGTTTGGATTTCAGGAGATTGTCTTGACCAGGACCACACCCCTAAATGCATTGAAGCAACTGCCATATTATTGGTTGATTAGATAATTGCATTAATGAGAAATTGACACATAGACCCCTTTGCAATTTAGTAAGATTGTGTTCTGCTGGCACAATTATAGAAGGAAAGTGAGAATAAAAAGTCAAAGGGGGGAATTGAGCTGGTGTCCATCCATGACTGAAAACACAGGGCTAAAACTGTGCTTCCAGGTTCTCTCTCCAATAACACTGACAAGATTTTACACTTGATTTCATATGTCGCTCACCAAATTTCTTCCAATTTAACACAGAAACCTGACTTGCCTGACCTGAGTCTGGAAAAATTTTGGCTCTTCTGAATCACTCATATGTGGCTCAGTGAAACCAGTTTTACAAAGAGCAGCAGCAGCAGGGGCCAATTGGTTAAAGTTCTGAGCAACTTATAAATCAAGTGATAAAAGAATTTGGACACAGGATATATAGCACAAGAAAGATTTTAGGAGGATGGCAAATGGTTATATCCTTCATCATTTCATAGGAATTTCACTCAAGGGCTTTGCAAAGTATTACAGTTAATAGAGCATGACCTCTGCAGCAGAGGGGCATTTTAAGACAGAAGCAGGTAGAAGCTCTACACGTGAGATAGAAAGAAGTAGTAGAGTCACTGTTATTGAACCACCATTTCAGTCTATTCAACACTGATTTTCTTTTTAAAATATGCTCAGGCCAGCAAGGTTTTTTGCATTTGTGAAAAAAAATGTGGTGCAAATTCATCAGTATGTGAAAAACAGATCTGAAACTCTCATTTTGCTCTTTACTTTCAATGCTTTGACATTAATGTTAACATTATGAATTCATAGAGATAAAAAACTGTTCAATTTATTTTGACCGTGTAATCTTTAATAAAAATGTAATGTAAGTTGATCATGCTCTAAAATGAATTTTTCAAAAGATTTCACATTTGGTTTATTATTAGGTAATACTAAGAACCTCTTTTAGCCATTATTTTGGCAAACTCTCATTTGTCCTGACTCCGGTCTTTGTTTCTTGTTGAAAATACAGTTTCACTTGAATTCTACTGAACTGGCTCAGCAAATAGATCAGTTCACATCACATCACTGATATATTCATCATATTTTTTGCAGGTTACATCTTTGTGATAGTGGATACCTAAGAGAAAGCCATCGAATCCAAGTTGTTCCCAAATCGAATCTCATTACTGCACTTTCAACTTAACGAAAGACATGGTCAGATGTACTCAGGGTACTTTTACACGACAATGATATACTAAAAACAAGCTTTAAAGGGGTATTTCACAACTGACAAAATGGCTGTCAAAAATCTTGGCTGTCTATACAGTAGAAATGTGATTTTATTTAAATCGGTGACTAGATAGGCTGGTGTCTTCCCTTTTGCCAAATGGTTAGAAAAACTTCAACACCCATGATGCACTGTGCATGTTGCTATTCAAGGCCACTCCCACCAGTCTGCAATAGATAAACTTGACCAGAGTAGAATACAACCTTGCTTTCGAAGGAAATACTTCTTAAAGTTTAAGTTATAATGATGTCGACTTGTATTGTTCCCAGGTGCAAGAGCCCTGGAGCTGTCAAAAGAGCTTTTCTGACAAATAAATTTCTCAGTCAAGGTAACACAGAAAGGGAGTAAACATTGTGCATTTACATAGTATCAATACAAAGCGGGTTGAAAATCAGCAAAGGTACACCACTGAAGTGTTAAAACACTAAAACATCTCTATACTCAGGGATAGAAATGGCTTTAGATTTACTTAATTGAACAGTCGCCACCATGGCTGTATCTCATACTAAGTTTCATGTTGCGTTCAGAGGAAATGTACGTCAGCATTTTACAGATCTCATTACATTGCAAATCTATAAATATTCAATCAAAATGGTTGCCTAGAGAGAAGCGGTTCTTGTGCCTCACCGATGAACTAATTGAATCTATGAAACGCTCTAGCAAATATGCCCGCAGTGCACATGTCATTGTAACCTCGAGAGTCAAGCGACTGCAAATTGGTTTTTTGAAAAAACATATTTTTTCTTATATGGAGTGTATGTATTCTGCTGGAGAGCTTGGAGAGTGTGTATGAAGAGCTTTGACTGTTGCATTGGAACTTCTGTCACCACAACGCATGTTTGCTTGATCGCAATCTTATGGTGAAATTAATTTAACCCTTTGTGGTGCGGTTAACACAGCTCTCAGAACTAACAGCTTCTACCCATTTGGTTATTGTTTTTGCACTCGTTGCTGAAAGAGAGAAGCAAACAGTGAACCAATCTAAGGAAACTTCCTGAGGTCATATTGAGCAGCCCAAAAAGCCCTTTTTTCCATCTAGAGATGTTTTTATGCTGTTGCAAATGGTGATGGTGATAATACCACGATCAAAGTGCATCTTCCTGACACTTGCATGTCTCATCTTTCAAAGAAACAGCGGAAGTACAGTAAGAGATAAACATGAAATAAATAATTAAAACACCA